ATGGTCACACTTGTCGAAGGCTTTTGCAAAGTCTGTATATATTACATCTGCATTCTTTTTGTCTTCTAGTGCATTTAGGACCTTGTCGTAGTGATCCAATAGTTGAGACAGACAGGAGCGACCTGTTCTAAACCCATGTTGCCCTGGGTTGTGTAACTGATGGGTTTCTAGATGGGTGGTGATCTTGCTTCTTAGGACCCTTTCAAAGATTTTTATGATATGGGATGTTAGTGCTATTGGTCTGTAGTTCTTTGCTGTTGCTTTACTGCCCCCTTTGTGGAGTGGGGCTATGTCTGTTGTTTTTAGTAACTGTGGGACGACCCCCGTGTAATGAGTGTACTGTATATGCATTTTATAGCTCTAGGGCACTTTAAATGTTATGTAGGTGGGGTGGCCAGATGGGATGCCATACCTCCCACACGACTTTCTACAAATAAATACTTTTCACCTCTCACCCTACATTAAGACTACAGTGGACCCTCGACCAACGATATTAATCCGTTCCTGAGAGCTCATTGTTAATCGAAATTATCGTTAGTCGAGTTAATTTTCCCCATAAGAAGTAATGGAAATCAAATTAATCCGTTCCTGACACCCCAAAGTATTGAAAAAAAAAAATTTACCACATGAAATATTAATTTTAATACACACAAACTGAAGAAGACATGCACAGTTACATGACAATTACCTTTATTGAAGATCTGGTGATGATTGATGGGATGGGAGGAGGGGAGAGTGTTGATGGTGTTAGTGTTTAGAAGGGGAATCCCCTTCCATTAGGACTTGAGGTAGCAAGTCATTTTCCGGGGTTACTTCCCTTCTTCTTTTAATGTGACTAGGACCAGCTTGAGAGTCACTGGACCTCTGTCGCACAACATATCTGTCCATAGAGGACTGTACCTCCCGTTCCTTTATGACATTCCTAAAGTGTTTCACAACATTGTCAGTGTACAGGTTGCTAACACAGCTTGCAGTAGCTGTCAGGGTGATTTTCATCAAAAAAAGTTTGCACTTTAAGCCACATTGCACACATTTCCTTAATCTTAGAAGCAGGCAACTTCTTCAATTTCTCCATCCCCTCCTCTGAAGCAGTTTCCTCAGGTGTGGCCTCTTGCTGTTGAAGATGATCTAGCAGCTCATCAGCGGTTAGTTTTTCATTGTCCTCCTCCACCAACTCTTCCACATCCTCCCCACTAACCTCCAACCCCAAGGACTTCCCCAATGCCACAATGGATTCCTCAACTGGCATGGGATTCTCAGGGTTAGCCTCAAACCCTTCAAAATCCCTTTTGTCTACACATTCTGGCCACAGCTTTTTCCAAGCAGAGTTCAAGGTCCTCTTAGTCACTCCCTCCCAAGCCTTACCTATAATGTTTACACAATTGAGGATGCTAAAGTGATCTCTCCAAAACTCTCTTAGAGTCAGTTGAGTTTCTGAGGTCACTACAAAGCACCTTTCAAACAGAGCTTTTGTGTACAGTTTCTTGAAGTTTGCAATGACCTGCTGGTCCATGGGCTGCAGGAGAGGAGTGATATTAGGAGGCAAAAACTTCACCTTAATGAAGTTCATGTCCACAGAAAGTCGCTCTGCCAAGTCTGAAGGGTGACCAGGAGCATTGTCTAATACCAGGAGGCACTTAAGATCCAATTTATTTTCCAGGAGGTAATTTTTCACAGTGGGGGCAAATGCATGGTGTAACCAGTCATAGAAAAAGTACCTAGTGACCAATGCCCTTCACAGCACACACAAATTAGCCTTGAAGACATTGTTTTTCCTGAACACTCTGGGAGTTTCAGAGTGATACACCAATAAAGGCTTCACTTTGCAATCACCACTAGCGTTAGCCCAGAATAAAAGCCTGTCTTTCATAGGCTTATGTCCTGGGAGTGCCTTTTCCTCCTGAGTAATGTAGGTCCTGCTTGGCATTTTCTTCCAAAACAGGCCTGTTTCATCACAATTAAACACTTGTTCAGGTTTCAGTCCTTCACTGTCTATGTACTCCTTGAATTCCTGCACATATTTTTCAGCCGCTTTGTAGTCCGAACTGGCAGCCTCACCATACCTCATCACACTATGTATGCCACTATGATTCTTAAATCTCTCAAACCAACCTTTGTTGGCCTTAAATTCACTCACATCACCACTAGTTGCTGGCATTTTTTTAATTAAATCGTCATGCAACTTCCTAGCCTTTTCACATATGATCGCTTGAGAGATGCTATCTCCTGCTATAGGTTTTTCATTTATCCACACCGATAACAGTCTCTCAACATCTTCTATCACTTGCGATCTCAGTTTCGAAAACATAGTTGCACCTTTGGCAAGAACAGCTTCCTTGATTGCCATTTTCTTGCCCACAATAGTAGCAATGGTTGATTGGGGTTTTGTGTACAACCTGGCCAGCTCGGAGACACGCACTCCACTTTCATACTTAGCAATGATCTCTTTCTTCGTATCCATAGTAATTCTCACCCTTTTTGCTGTAGGATTGGTACTAGAAGCTTTCTTGGGGCCCATGGTGACTTATTTTCAGGTGCAATCACTACAAATGCTGTGATAATATGAAATGTTCTGGTTGTATGTTTGGATGGGACTGCAGTGGCTGGCTGGCTTGTAAACACTGGCACCCATGGGACAAGTGAGGCGCGCTCAGGCCACAAGTGGACACGTCTCAAACGGAACGAATAGCGTTAGTCGGGTTTTTTAGCGCTAGTCGAGGCAAAATTTTTGCATTAAAATGTATCGCTAGTCGGATTTAACGTTAGACGATGCCAACGTTGGTCGAGGGTCCACGTACAAATATTTTAAGGTAAATAATGAGTGTACTGTATATGCATTTTATCACTCCAGGGCACTTGAAGCATCATAGTATATTGTGTGGCTGGGGTGGCCACGAGGGCTACCACACCTGACTTCTTACAGTAAATACTACTCACCTTTTCCCCTACACTAACCCCTTGACTGTTGCAACCCCAAATCCTGAGGTGTCTCCTCGTGTCGCAAAATTTCCGAAAAAAAAAATTATTTTTTCTTATGAAATGATATAGAATCTTTTCCCAATTGTAATAACACCAAGAGAACAAAATTTGATGAAAACTGATGGAATTACACTCTCGCGGAATTAGCAACCGTGGCGATATTTACGAATTGGCGATTTTGCTCGCTTTGAGCCGTATTTTTGGCTAATTCCATTGTTCCAGTCTACCAAACTTATAGCTATTTCTTTAGAACTCCATTTTTTCTATTGATTGAGTACAAGAATATGCCCATTTACCGATTTCAGCTACCCAATAACGTGGTCAGAAATTTGCAATTTGGCCAATTTCATGTAAAATTAAAAAATATAACAATTTAAAAATAGGGTCCAGAATGAACAATGCAGACATTCCTGGCTCTAAAATAACATTTTCTTTGTTCATCAGTCATGTCTCCAGGCCCCTCTGATATTACTCTTGCTTTCTATTTTGAACTTTCATTCAAAAAAAAAATAGAAGATTTACTGTTATGCAGACTACTGCAATATTGTAATAATTGTATAAATAATGTCAACCCATTCATGACTGCATATTAGAATGGCTACTTGAACATTTATTGGAAAATTACATCATTTGTTTACTTTTGAACATCGGCAAAAATCAAACATTTCCCCTACTTTGAGCTCCATTTCCAGGTTCTTTTCATAGTAAAACCAATCAAAATCACCTGTTTCTATAATATGTTTTCAATTCTATCAAATGAGACCACAAAACCGAGAATACAACCATAAATACTATAGGAAAATAGACCATAAAGTCGGCATTTTTATTAACAAAAAACGATCAGTTTTTTTTTTTTCTCATTTTGCACTGTGTGCTGCAGGATTTTTTTTTATATGGTGCACACTGACCACACAGACCCATTCTCTCACATGTGGGCCTACCAGCTTTTGCCTGCTTGATTTGAAGCCACTAGAATTTATGAGTACATATAAGTCAAAGCATTAAGACTACAAATATTTCGAGGTAAATAATGAGTGTACTGTGTATGTATTTTACTTTTTATTGTTTTTTAATACATAGTTCTACTGCTAACTTAATATATGTTAGTGTAAACTTGTTATCTGGCATTTATATGCATTTATAAGTGGAAAAAATGGCATTCTGCATTCCGGCGATGTCTGCTTTCCGGCAGTAACCTGGAACCTAACCTGCTGCATGAGTGGGGCTCTACTGTACATAGATGGATAAACCAGGAATGCAGTTATTTTCTCATATTTTTTCCCCATTGCTGTTTCATTAGCCCTTGTAAGTTTTATTTAGGTTTAACTAAAAGTCTAGGCTGTGAAAGGTGGGATATCAGCTTGGAGCTAAGGAGTATAGAAGTAATGAATACAGTGTATTCAGATACTTAGGAAACTGACATATAGGCAGATGGGTCTAAGAAAGATAAGGTGAACCACAGAATAAGTGTAGGAGAAAGAAAGTAGGTGATGTGTTAAGGTATCTGTGAGTAAAGAGAAGTTTACCAGAATACAGTGATACCAATACTTTTATGTAGGTGTAAGATGTGGGTTTTAAAGTAGGACTCAAAATTTGTGAAATGATCAATTCATAAATTCCACTGAGATTGCTAGTTTTGCATCTGTGTAATTCCTTAAGTTTTCCATCAAATTTTGTACTTTTGGTGTCATTGCCTTCAGAAGAGATTCTTTATCATTTCAGAAGAAAGAATAATTAAAAAAAAAGGGAAACTGGAAACAATATTAATTTTAGGGGCCTAGACAGTGAAAGGGTCAAATGATACTGTTTCCTCTCATTTTAAGATAGAGATGAATGCACTTGAAGATACATATTGATACATGTTTCAGTTCACAGGTTAGCAGATGTTAGAATTTTCCTCACCAACTTTGTGTTGGTTCTGTTGAGATACAATTGTATAGCTCTACTTTTTATATACCATACTTGTACTGAATTTAAATTTGCTCTTCCACTCAAATAAACAACATAATGTTCTTTTACAGATTAGGCAGTGTAGAAGTAACTGGTTCTGCAGTGTCCAAACGTTCTGGTGCTGTACGAGTTATTATCCCACCAAATATTAATGATCCATTGAACCTGGATGTATCATCAGATAATGAGGACTCTCTTACAGATGCATTACAAAAGCAACTTCGTCGCAGGAGAAGAAATAGGGTAAGAAGCCATTTTTTTTTTTTAACTCAGCGGTTGTTTCCTGCCAGGGCAGGATAACTCAAAAAAGAAAACGCAATCACCATCATTTATTCAATTTGTCTTTCCAGAAGTGTGCTTACATCATAATCAGAGTACCCCTCTGACTGTAACCCCTATCCCTGCTTCCAAGTGCAGGCACTGCCTTTCTCACCTCCAGGACTCAAGTCCGGCTAACTGGTTTCCCTGAATCCCTTCATAAGTTACCTTGCTCACACTCCAACAGTATGTCCATTAAAGACCACTTGTCAAACTGTATTCACAGTGTAATTTTGTGATAACCATTTATTATTCAGTTTATTAAAATTTTAAGGAATAATGAACAAAAATTAGTATATTCTGTCAAGCAGCCTACTTTTCCCACTTATTATGAGTGATGTTAACAGTAGCTAAATTATGTAGAAAATAAAATTCCAAATCAGATTTTTAAAATTCATTGCATGGAAATTTAAAATTAAGTTTAGAAGTCACACATAATATTTTTGTAAATCCCATATTACACATATTTCCATCGAATCCTGAGCTAACACTTGTTTAAAAAAATATAATTTTATTGCATCATCTGTTTTCCACCAAAGCAGGGTGACCCAAAGAAGGAAGCACATTTATCAGTCGGTTGTTGTCTTGCTGGAAGCATCTGGATATCACAATTCAAATAACTCTTTGGACTATAACATCCCCATCTATCCTTCGCAGTGCAAATACTGCACTTTCCATATCCAGGACTCAAGTTTGACTGATCAGTTTCCTTGAATCCCTACATAAATGTTACCTTGCTCACACTCTGACAATGGGTCAACACCTTTTGTTTCACATACTTCCCACTAGAGTGAGTTGGTCTAGGCTAATTTCTAAAATTTCACTGGATGTCAGGCACCGAGGTAGGCCCATGCGGCTCTAGCCTGCTCTCTACGCCAACCTGACCTCCCTCAACACTTCCTCTCCTAAGTCTGGCTCTGGCAACTTTGTAATCTGTCTGCCTGTGCAATCCATATTCTCCGAATAATATGGTGCTAGTCTATCTACATTTGTCCCAACAACAGTACAGTGGACCCCCGGTATTCGATGGCATTGGTATTCGATAAATCCGGTATTCGATGCATTTTAATGCAAAAATTTTGCCTCAGTATCCGATTGAAAACCCGGTATTCGATACGATTCGTACAAGACGTGTCCACGTGTGGCCTGAACTGCCCCGTGTGTGCCATTGTTTACAAGCCAGCCAGTGTGCGTGCATCTAAGGATACATTCGGTACATTCCATATTATCACTATTTTTGGTGCTTGTTTCTGAAAAATAAGTCACCATGGGCCCCAAGAAAGCTTCTAGTGCTAACCCTGTGGTAAAAAGGATGAGAATTAGTATGGAAATTAAGAAAGATTTTGAAGGGTTTGGGGCTAACCCTGAGAAGCCTATGCAAGTTGTGGAATCCATTGTGCCTACTTCAAAAATTAAGAAAATGTGTGCACAGTGGGTTGAAGTGCAAACCTTTATGGATGAAAATCACCCTAACACAGCTATTGCAAGCCGTGCTGGTGACTATTACAATGACAATGTTGTAGCCCATTTTAGACAAATTGTAAAGGAACGGGAGGTACAGAGCTGTATGGACAGATTTGTTGTGCAACAGAGGTCCAGTGACTCTCAAGCTGGTCCTAGTGGCATTAAAGAAGAAGGGAAGTAACCCTGATCCATCGGGAGGCCTGGTCATGGACCGGGCCCCGGGGGCGTTGATCCCCGGAATAACCTCCAGGTAACCTCCAGGTAGCCTCAAGCCCTAATGGAAGGGGATTCCCCTTCTAAACACTAACACCATCCACACTCTCCCGTCCTCCCATCAATCATCACCAGATCTTCGTTAAAGGCAAGTGTCAATTATTCTATTGTTATTATTCTATTGGTATTGTGGTTATTGTAATTCTTTTGCATTAAACTTAATATTTCATGTGGTAAAACATTTTTTTTTTCATACTTTTGGGTATCTTGCACGGATTAATTTGATTTCCATTATTTCTTATGGGGAAAATTGATTCGCTTTTCGATATTTTCGGTATTCGATGAGCTCTCAGGAACGGATTAATATCGAATACCGGGGATCCACTATATGTCAAACCCCAAAGCATGTGTGTCTCCACTAATTCCTATTGAACATACATATGCCTTCTAGATGCTCGACTCCATACTCAAAACCACTTTCACCCTCTCCCTCCAACCCTTCCTGGGGTTTGTTAATTCTTTCTTTCAACATATCGGCCATATCCCACCGAGGCGGGGTGCCCCAAAAGGAAAAATGAAAGTTTCTCCTTTTACATTTAGTAATATATACAGAAGGGGTTACTAGCCCCTTGCTCCCGGCATTTTATTCGCCTCTTACAACACACATGGCTTACGGAGGAAGAATTCTGTTCCACTTCCCCATGGAGGTAAGAGGAAATAAACAAGAACAAGAACTAGAAATAAAATAGAAGAAAATCCAAAGGGGTGTGTGTATATATATGCTTGTACATGTATGTGTAGTGTGACCTAAGTGTAAGTAGAAGTAGCAAGACATACCTGAAATCTTGCATGTGTATGACACAGAAAAAAAAAAGACACCAGCAAATGTTCACAAATGTGCTGATATTATTTATACAATTATTACAATATTGCATGACAGTAAATCTTTTAGTTTTTGGTTTGATAAAAATTCATTATGTGAATTAAAAATCAAAATGGAATTCATTTGTAAAGCCTAGAAATGTAACTAATGAACAGAAAAAATGTTAGTTTAGTGCCAGGAATGCCTGCATTGTTTATTCTGGACCCTATTTTGAAACTGGAATATTTTGAACTTTGCATTAAATTGGCCAAATTACCAATTTCCAATCACTTTATTTTGTAGTTGAAACAGTTGACTTGGGAATTTCTTGTGCTCAATTGATAGAATAGAAGTAATACTAGTGAAATAGCTAAGAATTTGGTTGACTGGATTAATGTAATTGACCTAAAATGGGAGTCAAAGCCGGCAAAATCGCCGATGCGTAAATATCGCTGACACATCAAAATTCGCGACAGCATAATTTCGTAAATTTTCCAGCAAATTTCATACTTTTTGTTTTATTACCTTCAGAAAAAGATTCTCTACCATTTCATACCTGGAGTTTACCTGGAGAGAGTTTTGGGGGTCAACGCCCCCACGGCCCGGTCTGTGACCAGGCCTCCTGGTGGATCAGCCCCTGATCAACCAGGCTGTTGCTGCTGGCTGCACGCAAACCAACGTACGAGCCACAGCCCGGCTGATCAGGAACTGACTTTAGGTGCTTGTCCAGTGCCAGCTTGAAGACTGCCAGGGGTCTGTTGGTAATCCCCCTTATGTGTGCTGGGAGGCAGTTGAACAGTCTCGGGCCCCTGACACTTATTGTATGGTCTCTTAACGTGCTAGTGACACCCCTGCTTTTCATTGGGGGGATGGTGCATCGTCTGCCAAGTCTTTTGCTTTCGTAGTGAGTGATTTTCGTGTGCAAGTTCGGTACTAGTCCCTCTAGGATTTTCCAGGTGTATATAATCATGTATCTCTCCCTCCTGCGTTTCAGGGAATACAGGTTTAGAAACCTCAAGCGCTCCCAGTAATTGAGGTGTTTTATCTCCGTTATGCGCCGTGAAAGTTCTCTGTACATTTTCTAGGTCAGCAATTTCACCTGCCTTGAAAGGTGCTGTTAGAGTGCAGCAATATTCCAGCCTAGATAGAACAAGTGACCTGAAGAGTGTCATCATGGGCTTGGCCTCCCTAGTTTTGAAGGTTCTCATTATCCATCCTGTCATTTTTCTAGTAGATGCGATTGATACAATGTTATGGTCCTTGAAGGTGAGATCCTCCGACATAATCACTCCCAGGTCTTTGACGTTGGTGTTTCGCTCTATTTTGTGGCCAGAATTTGTTTTGTACTCTGATGAAGATTTAATTTCCTCATGTTTACCATATCTGAGTAATTGAAATTTCTCATTGTTGAACTTCATATTGTTTTCTGCAGCCCACTGAAAGATTTGGTTGATGTCCGCCTGGAGCCTTGCAGTGTCTGCAATGGAAGACACTGTCATGCAGATTCGGGTGTCATCTGCAAAGGAAGACACGGTGCTGTGGCTGACATCCTTGTCTATGTCGGATATGAGCATGAGGAACAAGATGGGAGCTAGTACTGTGCCTTGTGGAACAGAGCTTTTCACCGTAGCTGCCTCGGACTTTACTCTGTTGACGACTACTCTTTTGTGTTCTGTTAGTGAGGAAATTATAGATCCATCGACCGACTTTTCCTGTTATTCTTTTAGCACGCATTTTGTGCGCTATTACGCCATGGTCACACTTGTCGAAGGCTTTTGCAAAGTCTGTATATATTACATCTGCATTCTTTTTGTCTTCTAGTGCATTTAGGACCTTGTCGTAGTGATCCAATAGTTGAGACAGACAGGAGCGACCTGTTCTAAACCCATGTTGCCCTGGGTTGTGTAACTGATGGGTTTCTAGATGGGTGGTGATCTTGCTTCTTAGGACCCTTTCAAAGATGTTAGTGCTATTGGTCTGTAGTTCTTTGCTATTGCTTTACTGCCCCCTTTGTGGAGTGGGGCTATGTCTGTTGTTTTTAGTAACTGAGGGACGACCCCCGTGTCCATGCTCCCTCTCCATAGGATGGAAAAGGCTCGTGATAGGGGCTTCTTGCAGTTCTTGATGAACACAGAGTTCCATGAGTCTGGCCCTGGGGCAGAGTGCATGGGCATGTCATTTATCGCCTGTTCGAAGTCATTTGGCGTCAGGATAACATCGGATAGGCTTGTGTTAATCAAATTTTGTGGCTCTCTCATAAAAAATTCATTTTGATCTTCGACTCTCAGTCTGGTTAGCGGCTTGCTAAAAACTGAGTCATATTGGGACTTGAGTAGCTCACTCATTTCCTTGCTGTCACTGTGTAGGACCCATCTTGTTTAAGTAG